AGAGCAGCTTATGGTGTTGTCGGTACTGTCAGGTCAGGTGCATTTCATTTAGAGCTCAATTGTTTTATCTTTGTTGTCACAGTTTCTCATCCCCGCTCAGAGAAAAAGCAGCACAGTTCCCCTCCAGAAGCTGCTTATTTGCTTCTTTCCTGCTGCCCCTATTTACAGTGAAATATAGCTGTAAGTAACATCTGTGCTTACAGCTCAAATTTCAGAAAACCACAACCATGTGGTTCTTCCGAGTACATGCTGACATTTATGATGTGATGTTTTTGTCTGCATTATCAGCAACAAAGTGGCCGCAATGTGCAAAAGTTTCCCGTTGAGACTGAACAACGTTATTCGCAGCTGTAAATGTGCCACTTCCAAATTGATTCATGAAGTTCGCTCTGTAAACCTGACAGATAATGAAATGGTTTATATCACCCCACACAGCTGGACAGTCCTCTGACCATAACGTGCAGATGTGTTCTAATTTAGGGTCTGAACAACCATTTTCTTCTGGTGTTTTCTGAAGCAACAGCATTCAAATAAAAGTACATTATCCAGTGCATACATACACAGACATGTAACGCCAAACCTCAAAGGCTCTCATTTGATTTTAAGAATAAATAAAGGCTCAAATCTGATCTGTTCTTCATATGAAGTTGTCCTAAATCCACTTTTCCATTCTGACTGAAGTTGCAGTCAACAGTAACTCCAGTCTCAACAACCTGTGATGCTTCAGTTCGCATTGGCAAAGGCTGCACTGCATAGACGTTTCTTCACCATCAGATAAAAATAAAGACTCCAGCATGTTTTAAATTGTACTGTACGTTGAGGTCATGACCAGAATCATGGCTTCTGAACTTATGGCCATTAAGGGGCCCACGCATGACTAACCAAGGCTATGTAACAAGATCATGTCTAAAGAAAAAAAATCCTTTTTGCTTCTTTCTGCAACTGAATAAATGGTAGAACCTCATCTGTCCTAAAAAGCTCTGCATCAGGCACAGGCTGGTAAGATTTAAATACTGTTGTTCGGAGCAAAGTCAAAAATTAGGAGCTCAGAGTCGAAATGCTATCAAAAGGGAATTTATATTTAAAAACTATATTTAAAATATTTTTGATTTATATACATTATCATTATTATAAAATTGTCCCTATAGTGAAATTATATATTTTTTACCCTTTTTTAAAAGAAATTAATGTTTATTCAAGAAGCGTGCTTTAAATTGATCAAAAGTGACGGTAACGTTTTTTTTTAAATACTAAGCTGCATAATTGTTTTCAATAGTGATTTTAAAATGATTTTTAACAAGTTTTCAGCACTAAATAAATTGCATTTATAATGAGTATTTTGTCCACCGTCTTGGTTTTCTTTTTTTTTTTCTTAATGCATTCAATACTGAAAACTACTATAAAATTGTCAGAAAATACTAAGCTGCATAATTGTTTTCAATAGTGATTTTAAAATGATTTTTAACAAGTTTTCAGCACTAAATAAATTGCATTTATAATGAGTATTTTGTCCACCGTCTTGGTTTTCTTTTTTTTTTCTTAATGCATTCAATACTGAAAACTACTATAAAATTGTCAGTTTCCACACAAATATAATAGGCAGTTTTTGATCATTTTAAACTCATTTTTAACAATAGCTGTTGTATTATATATATATATTAAGCTGCACAACTTTTTTCCAACACTGATAATAATAATAATAATAAATGTGTCTTGAAGGATCATGTGACACCGAAGTAATGACTCCTTTAAAATATAGTAAAATAGAAAATATTTAAAATTGTAAAAATATAATATTTCACAATATAATAATCTTTATTTTTCTATAGCGCCTTTAAATGTTACTTCTCAAAGTGCTTTACATAACAAATAAAACATCAAAATACACCATATAAAAATTTATGAAAATCAGCAAAAACACATTCAAACCACATTAGAAATAAAAAAAACAAAATTAATATAAAAATTTTGAATAAAAGCTACCCTAAAGAAATAAGTTTTAAGGTGAGATTTAAAAATGTTAAAGGGGTCCTATTATGCTCTTTTATAAAGTCTTGATTTTGTTACTATTACTACACTATTACAATATAATAATCTTTATTTTTCTATATATACTTCTCAAAGTGCTTTACATAACAAATAAAACATCAAAATACACCATATAAAAATGTATGAAAATCAGCAAAAACACATTCAAACCACATTAGAAATAAAAAAAAACAATATAAAAATTTAAACAAAGGCTACCCTAAAGAAATGAGTTTTAAGGCGAGATTTAAAAATGTTAAGAGAATTTGCCTGCCTTATTGCAGTAGGAAATATTACTCAAATAATACTGTTTTAATATATTTCGGATCATAACAAAATACACCATATAAAAATTTATGAAAATCAGCAAAAACACATTCAAACCACATTAGAAATAAAAAAAGCAATATAAAAATTTAAATAAAGGCTACCCTAAAGAAATGAGTTTTAAGGCCAGATTTAAAAATGTTAAGAGAATTTGCCTGCCTTATTGCAGTAGGAAATATTACTCAAATAATACTGTTTTAATATATTTCGGATCATAAAGATGCCGCAAATGCAGCTTTGTTAGCATAAGAAATCTTTTAAAATTCTAAAATCTTACTGACCCCAAACGATTGAATGGTAATGCATGTCTTGTATATTATAATATTTATATGATTTTAAGTAATAGCCATATTTATTCAAAAGTTCCCCTTAAAATCACAAAAAAAAAAATTGCTTCTAAATAAAAGGTTTCTAATAAAAACATTTCTGACGCTGGTGCTCCTGTTCTTCTACCACTTTCTGAAACCTTTTTAGAAGCCTGAAACTTTTTGCTTGTTTGGAGTTTGGCTCGATTTAGCCTGGAGTGCATGAAACGAGTGAATAATATGAATGGTTTCGGACTGTCTGGGATATTGGATGTCTTTTTTTACCCTAAATGTTTCCCTCTCCACTAGATTTCGAGAACTGTCAGAGCAGTGCTGACTCCGTATTCTCTAATCCTTGCCATGGGTTTTGCAACCAGAGGAAGAAATCTATATTTAGATGCCATGGGTGAACGCGTTTAACTTTAGTCCAGAGTCGCTCCATTCATCACAGGAACACACTCAAAGGAGGGCAAACCTTGAATCCAGCTTCAGGCCCTGATATTAATGACTTCTGTGGTCGACCGAATGGCAAACACTTTATATTTATTTAGTGTATTGGCCTACAAAAATAACATTTTGCCTGACAATACTTGATTATCCTGAAGCAATTCACATTCTGTGGAAGCAGAAGGATTTAAAAAAAAAAAAAAGGTTCATGGTCTGTTTGTCAAGTCTTCACACACTTCTCTCTCCTGCACAGGATATGTGTTTTGGCTTCATTCCAGATGAAACCATATGGAGGTACTCACTCACTCACACACACACACACCTGAAGATATTTTATTACCACAGGAATCAAACTGATGCAGCCTTAAATTGCATTTTTGCCATTATCAAATCTCATAATGGATTCAGTACTGCTGATTCAATAAAGAAAATAAATCAGAGCAGGTAAGTATAGATATACTTTAATATAATTTTATATTCTCATCCAGTCGAAAATACAACTTTTGAATGAAAGGCACAGTACGACCAGACTTTTCCTTAGTCTAACAAAAAAAAAAATACAGAAAGCAGACTTTGCTTACAGAATAAATCATATTTTAACAGAAACGGGGGATTGGAAAAAGTTGGAATGCCTACAAATCAATATGAAATAGAAATGTTTAAAGCGATAATTCATTAGGCTCAATCAACTCCTAATATTGCTTATTACAGACATTGAAAGTGGCACACGAGTAACATTGTTAGGGGGAAAAGAAGAACATTAATATATGCACACAAAATATTTAAGGACACAAAATTGATAAGAGGGCAAATATTAAAGGGTCTGTAATGGAAAACTATGATCTGACAATGTAGTGCAACTTGTCTCTGTAAACAATGCAAGTGAAGGAGACGGTATGTCATGGTTGCCGGCATATGAGAAATTAAAATTGCATTGGTCCAAAACAACAACAACAACAACAACAACAACAACACTAACAGGCTCATGAAGACAGAAACCGGAAAAATAAGAGCTTTATTGTGGTTTCCCTTTTGAACAATCTTGGTCAAAGCATTGCTAAAAGAACAAAATGAACCACACAATGGTGATGATATTCTTTGGTATTTTTATTCTTGCATACTTGGTTGTTTCAAATCCATTTTGTTCTCCTTTTTGTATTTTCATTTCAGGGTTGTTTTTTTTAAGTCAAGTCGTCCAACTATCCATCACTGGCACTGACTGCCACTTTTACAAAAAGCATCGATGTCTCACCAAAATGGTTCTTTGTAAAACAATTGATCAAATTTCCCTTCGATAAGAGGCATAATTTGACCAAGCACACTTACAAATTCAGTTAAGACTTCACTTCCCGTAGCAAAGAAACCAGGTGGTTAATTGAATATATAGAGGCTAAAATAAAACACAAATGGATGAATCTCAAAGTTTGTTAAGAACATGTCCTGGTGATATTTCACCCAAAAATCACATTTTGCTTAAAATGTATACGGTTTTAAATTTATATTTTCAAAATTAGTTATATTGCTTTAAATTAATGTGGACTTAAAATCTTTTAAACAGCAGTTTACTCTTTTGTTTTACAAAACAAAACAAAAAACTATACAAAAACAAAACAGAATAAAAAAAACTAAACTAAAACAAGAAACAAAAAAACACAACAAAACTAAAAAACAAAACAAAAAACATAAAAGCAAAAAAAAAAACAGAACAGAGAACACAGAAGATTAAAAAAAAAACAGAAATTAAACAGAACACAAAACAAAACAAGAAAAACTAAAATCTTAAACATCTTGGCATTATAATGTGCAAAACACAAACACACACCCAATGGAAAAAATGCTTCTAAAACATAACGATATTCCGGGCCAAAACAGGAATACATTATATTCAAAATCTTTTTTGTTTGTTTTATTTTGGATTAAAACATGACCTGGACATGTTTTTAAGATTCACCCAAACATAAACAAAGCTCCCTGTGTCACTTCAGTTATAACCCCTGCTCACGGTGCACCTACAGCACCCGATTTTTAAATGAATTAGAAACCGTATTACAGGATCCTGATCAGAACCTGTAATAGCAGCAAGGGTATTCACTGAAACATCAGATATTACAATCAACTTTCACACACACAAACACAAGTGTGATCACAGCAGTTTGAGTCTGTATTCTGCTGATTTTCACATGACCCTTTAATCCATGCTCATGTGCAAACTTCTTTAATTAGCCCCGGATTGGACTGGAGCCAATGTTGGCATGATTGATAGAGGCAACGAAATAGCGACTCCCTTGAAGGTGAACGAATGTGTTCCAGAATCTGGTAGCACATTTGTAAAAGTACTTCAGAGGTCTTTTTTGAGTGGCGGGGTGGGGGGCACAGAACGTCCCCCGTTCTGGACACTACCTGTTAGTATTGCTCAGCTGTGAGAGTTGTGTCAGGAACTCTCGCAGTTCTTTAGCTGCCTGGAAGCGACCGTACTGTTTCTGGGGCCGGGTGCACTCGTCTAGCAGGGCCATGAGGCGGCCGTCTTTGACCACATCGGCAGGGGGGTCGTGGAGGAGACCGCCTGTGGTGCCACGCCAGGTGGCGAATCTGGAGAGCAGGTTCTGACAGATAGCGTAGTAGTTGTGGTCCACGGTGACTCGAGAGCAGAGGATGTCCTTGGAGAAGGAGAGACAGGCCTCTTTGTCGCATTCCTCGTAGCGGCTCTCGTACCACACGTCATAGTTCTCTGGTTTATCTGATTGGATTACAGAAAATACAAATATAATATCTGCCAAAACAATACAAGAGAAGAAACCTCAAAATCAACATGAAACTGCATTTCCATCTCATGTTTCTGGGTGAAAAGGGATAATACTGAAGGCTGAAGTTAGGACCCTGTAACTCCAGTTTACAGTATAACACGGTCATTGAATTTAGCAAATTTTAGATGAATAAGTCAAAAGTAGGGCTGTATGCTTAATTCACGATGTGGACTTGTGTTTATGAATATAAAAGTGCAAAAAGACAGCTATTTAAATATTAGTCAGCAGAACACATGAACTTCAACTCCAGAGCTGCTCTCAGGGTTCACTTCATCAGAACCTTTTCATTTGATACAAATCATTTTCATGTCACATTGAGTAGATACAGACGCTCAAAGGTCTTCATCCATCAAAAAAAGTTAAGTTTAATTAGTTTATTTAGTTTAGTATAAACTATGGAAGCCCGTTTCTGCCACTGAATAAAAAATAAAAAAGGTAATTGCGACTTTTTTTTCACAATTCTGACTTTTTTCTTAGAATTGCGTGATACAAACTCGCAATTGCGTGTTATAAAGTCAGAATTGCGTGATATAAACTCGCAATTGTGAGACAAATTCGCAATTCTGAGAAATAAAGTCAGAACTGCGAGAAATAAACTCGCAATTCTGAGAAAAGTCAGAATTGCGAGTTTTTAATCTCACAATTGTGGCTTTATATCTCGCAATTATGACTTTATAACTCGCAATTGCGAGTTTATATCTCAATTCTGTGAAAAAAAGTCAGAATTGTGGGATAAAAAGTCGCAAGAACCTTTTTTTTTTTTTTTTTCAGTGGCGGAAACAGGCTTCCATAATAAACAGAGTACGTGCATTCACGGATCTCAAAAGTGAAAGTGAAACTAAAAAGCGATGCATTCAAAAGCAGTTTTAACGGCAGGTATAATAGCGGCTCCTTGATGCCCGCAGTTTATATACAGTATAATTACCCAATGATATAACTGTGAGAGAAAGTATTGAAATATCTCGTATTTATTCCGTATACACATAATTTTCTTTCCAAACACGGTATTGGGATGCGCCCGGATTGCGGGGGGTATGGAGGGTAGGCTTGCTGCAATAGACGGTGTTTTCGGTTATACCGGTGTTAAGCCGCAACATCGTTTACGTCATTTGCCCACCGCATACGTCATTATGTATTTTGAACAACTATTGAATAGTTTAAGAATTGCTATTCATGATTAGTATGTGTGTGTTTGAATCTTCATGCTTGAAACGTTTCTTCCAATCAATTCTTGGTCAAATGTATCATATTCTTGTTATAGAAATCATGTCCAAAATTATATTCTGCAAAAACGGGAAAACCAAAACCATGTGAATGATGAGATAACAGTTGATTTATGTTTAGAAAGGAAAAGCAAAGGCGCCTGTTTGGCAATATTTTAGATTTTGAAAAGCCTATTGACTGGAAGTTTTTTTTAAACATTTGTTTCTTATTTATTTGGTTCCACAGTGTTTGCTGATTACTATATTTAAACTTTGGGTATTTTATTTATTTTACATCAAGGTGTATATGCCGTGCCTCCAAGCTTTCTTATTCATTTTGCTAATAAATGTTCTATGTTTCTTATTTATTTGGTTCCACAGTGTTAAACTTTGTGTAGCCCAAATAATTTGTTATTTTATTAGGCATAGGCCTATATGGTGTATTTTTATTCATTTGTTAATAAAAGTTCTGAGTTTGACGTTGTTGTTGCTTGAATTGAATCAACACTGAATTGCCCCTAATTTGAAAGTGAAAGTAAAAT